ACTTCTATCGTTATTGGTGACTATGATCATGATAATAAATTAGATATTGCTATCAGTAATAATGCTACAAATAATATTCTTATATTAACTAAATACGATGTTTTTCCTACTGCGATGGCTGTATCCTATTCAACTAGTAATGGGTCTAAGCCATTGGGAGTTGCTGTTGGAGATTTAAATAATGATAATTTCTCAGATATTATTGTGACGAATAATGCAAGTAACACTGTTGGTATATTCATGAATCTTGGCAATGGAACTTTTGCAAATCAGATAGAGTTGAATGTTGGAGATTATTCGTCCCCGGATTTTGTTATCGTGATTGATATTAATAATGACAAACAACTTGATATTATAGTAAATGACTATCAGAAGTATGGAGTTCGTATCTTTTTCGGATATGGAAATGGAAGTTTCACTGCTGGTAATTTGATTGTAACTGCTAATACGACTGCTCCTGCCTATATTTCAGTTGCGGATTTGAATGACGATACCATTCTTGACATTATTGTAGCTATCACCAACAGTACTAATATTGGGATATTATTTGGATCTGGAAATGGGAAATTTAAAGATGTAATAACACAACAAATTTCAGCTGATTTTTATCCTGTATCAATCCTTGTAAATGATTTCAATAATGATCATATATTAGATATTGTCGCATCTGACACAAGGAAAGGTGGTATAGCTATATTGATGGGATACGGAAATCAATCCTATGGTATGCCATTGATAATTCCAACCTATGATGATCTTCCTAATTCTTTAGCTGTTGGTGATTTAAATAACGATCATCGATTAGATATCGTCTATGCTAGTAAATCACTTTCAACTATTGGTATTCTTTTGGGAAATGGAAATGGAACCTTCAGCAATATAACCATATATTCTACTGGTGCTGGTACTTGGCCCCAAAATGTTGTTCTTGTCGATTTCAATAACGACACTCAACTTGATATTGCAGTTGCCAATGAGTATGGGTATACTATCAGTATATTCTTTGGACTGGGAAACGGTTCCTTCACACAACAAATCACATTTCCAACTGGATATCATTCTCGATCCCAATTTGTTGCTTTCGCTGATTTTAATAATGACTTGCAACTGGATTTTGTAGCTTCCAACAAAGCTACATACGAGATTCTTGTAAATCTTATATATTTTAAAAGTGATTTTACGTATCAAACGAGTTATTTTACTGGTTCCAGTCCTCATCCATTGTCTGTCGCTATTGGTGACTTTAATAATGACAATCGATCAGACATTGTTGTTGCTAACTCAGACAATGACAATATACAATTACTTTTTGAATATGATCAAGGAACTTTTCTAAATAAACCAATATATTCAACAGGTCTTAGTTCTTCTCCACAATTTGTACTGGTTGCCGATTTTAATAAAGATAAACAAGTAGATATTGCAGTGATCAATAGTCAAAATGGCATTATCGATGTATTTTTGGGATATAGTAATGGAACTTTTGATGAACCCAGTATAATTTCGACTGGTTCTGAGACATTACCAAAATCAATTTCGTCTGGCGATTTTAATCATGATAATTGGACTGATATTGTCGTTGCTAACAGTGGTGTAGATAATATAGGTGCATATCTTGGATTTGATTATCCAACATTTACAAATGACACCATTATTATTCCTGGAAAATCTGCAGTTCCTATATGTATTGCTGTGGGTGACTTCAATAATGATCACAATTGGGATTTGGTAGTCTGTAATGCTCAACTTCAAAGTATTGGTGTATATTTAGGGTATGGAAATGGAACATTTACAGTACCGACATCGTATCCGACTGGTGATACACCAAAATCAATCTCTATTGGTGATCTCAATGGTGATAAGATAAATGATTTAGTCGTCGCTAATCGTGGTGAAAATACGATAAGCATATTCATAGGCTATGAAAATGGAAGTTTTCAGCCTCAAGTACCGTACTCCACGGGCTCCTCATCTAGTCCTACATCAGCAATAATTAGTGATATTAATAATGATAGTAAATTAGATATTGTTGTCGCTAATCGAGATAGCAACAGCATAGGTTTATTCGTTGGATATGGAAATGGTTTATTTCAAAATCAGATATTAAACCTGTTACCGAATGGATCGACACCTCGATGGGTGATTGTTAATGATCTTAATCATGATGATATCTTAGACATAGCCGTCGCTAATTATGGTCTTAATAATATAGGTATATTTTTTGGATATGGGAATGGTAGTTTTAGAGATTTAATAACACTTTCTACTGGAAATATATCTGGACCGGTTTCGATTGCTACAGGAAATATGAACAATGACAAATGGATAGATATTATTGTTGCCAATGTTAATAGTAAAACTGTCGGCCTGTTTTTAGGAAATGGCAATGGCACATTTTTGCCTCAAATCACATATTCAACTGGCTCTCAATCGGATTTGATGTCAGTTTCTGTTGCTGATATAAATAATGACACTTCACTTGATATCATTCTAGTCGATCTTGGTAGTAGTGGTAATGGTAACGTTGGTGTGTTTTATGGATATGGCGGAGGAAAGTTCACATTACATACTACCTATGAAACTGGTTTGAACTTTGATCCATTTTCAATTGTGATTCATGACTTTGATAATGATAATAGATTAGATATGGCTCTTGTATACTCCAATAAGGATAGTATCGGTATGATGCTTCAACGTAGAAGTAAACCGTTCGCTACACCATTTCTGATTCCAACTGGTAAAAATTCTCGTCCGCTGTCAGTTGCTGCTGGTGACCTTAACAATGATAATCATCTCGATTTTACAACAGCTAACTCTGGTACTAACAATATTGGTATATTTTTAGGTGATGGTAATGGGGGTTTTAGCGGACAAATAACTTATTCAACTGGTAATAGTTCTACACCCATTTCTATTGCAGTTGGTCATTTTAACAATGATACCTATCTCGATATTGTTGTTGCTAATGAACAAACAAATAATATTATGATTTTTCAAGGATATGGAAATGGAATTATTACACTACTAACAATATATTCAACTGGAATTAATTCTGTTCCATCTTCAATCTCTATCAAAGATATAAATAAAGACGATTATTTAGATATTGTCATCACTGATTATAATAGCAATGAGATACTTGTATTCATTGGTTCGAACAAAGGAAATTTCTCGAAATTAAATTCATATTCTCTTGGTTATAATGCTGGACCAAAATCGGTGGCCATTGCAGATATCAATAATGATAGTTTATATGACTTAATTGTTGCAAATTATGGTACTAACTATGTTGAAATTCTTTTGCAAACTTGTTGATTGTGTATTTTTCGATTTATAACTAATATTTTTGTAATTTTATATATTATCTTTAATCTTTTATTTTTAGTAATTTTTCATGTATCGGTAAAAAAAGTAGATAGTAATTTCTGCAGTATTCGATGACGCATCACTATTAACGCAGTTAACAAATGTGACATGAAGTTTCGTCGTGTTATTTATAAGAGAACAGAAAAAGAATAGTTATTTTTTCTCTAACGTTATATTCTGTTTATATCTATATAAGTGAAAGGTTATTCAGTTTATTTTATTCTTGGCATATTAAAATAAAATTTGAATGAAATAGAGGTTTATTGTTTAATAAGAAATGCTTAGCTGCAGTTAATAAAATTGAACAAAGCTTGATTAAGAAAAATCTCACTGATATTTTGTTAAATCTTGTTGTTATTTGAACTCTTTATTTACATGAGGAACTCCACCCACCCATGTGTCACCATGCTTATCGATTGGAGCTTGGACTTTTCCATCACTGTTTTCAGTTCCTAATGAAGTCGATACATCTGAAGTTTTACCGGTACCAGTAAGACTTGTTGAACCACCTGTAGTTCCTGATAGATTATTATTATTTTCTGGAAGATTGTTTAATGATGAATCGGCCTTATGTTGTGGTGTCGACATTTTGATATAATCAAAACACAATAATAAAATGAATGAATACGCATTTGTATTCGACCATCAGCACAAGAAAGGAGATAAAAGAAAAAGAAAATGTTTGTTTTTCATTATCATAACCACGTGGAGAACGTGTAGTTATAAATAACATATATTTTTCTCTTTATTCAGATATTTTTAGGGTGTAAGTAGAATAGATACGATAGACTTACACCCTCAATATAAATGAACATTCAAAAGATTGTTCTCATTTCAAAAATAAATAATAAAACAAACTATTAATATAAACATTTCTATCAATGATAAACGGATTCAAAAAACTTTTCTTTTTTTCTTTCTTGATCTTACAGTAAAGTGTTCATTTGTCAAATTTATATAAATGAGTAATCGATAAAAGAAAAATTTTCTATTTTACTTTTCTAGCCTGCAGTCAAGTGTTCACTTAATACAATTATATAAATGAGAAATCGATAAAAAAAATTTCAGTTTTGCTTTTTCTAACTTACACACTAAAACAAATACCCATTTTTTTAGAGTGCAGTAAAGTGTTCATTTGCCACATTTATATAAATGAGAAATCGATAAAATAGTTTTTATAGGTATGAAGTGCGCTAATGAATTTTTTTTGTTTCTTTTATGTTACAGGTCAGATTAGGTAAGTACTCATATACTTATGCTTTAGAAAAAGATTAAAAGAAAAGGTTTTGAATACCATTTTATTAGCGAACAATAGAATGATTAATACAGTAATGATGATATAGCAACATATACTTACATCGACGATTTTTTTCTAGCATGTTGTTTTTTATCAGTAGTACTACTCGTTTATTACTTAATTAAGTTCGCTCCATACAACTAAGCGAGAGCTAAGCTTCTCACGAAAAGTAAAGCGAGGTTGAGTAAGATCATCATATATCGATCACTGAGCAAGTCAATATAGTATATTTTGTTGGAAATATGTTTATAAAAAAATGTATCAAGAGGCTGATGTTGTTTAGCACAGCAGTCCACAGTAGGACTACTCCAGCAGCGGATGATAAAAAGGGTTGATTTTTGTTCTAATTAAGGGTGTAGGTGTGGGTGGGTGTATGATTAATACAATATCCACATCTATACCCACACCCACTCTCAAGATGCTAACAACTTTCTTTATTTTATATTGCATAATAGATAGTTTATTATATTTAATACAATATGCCAATTTCCAGTGGTTTTTCACAAGATCCAAATCCAGATCTGAGTTATTATGTAAGAAATATTCATTGTTACTTAACCTAGATATTTATTTGAATCCATATAGGGCCATAAACCAGGTAAAACAGAAATGTTAGATGAAGCAATCTATTTCGAACGACCTGACGAAGTATTTTTATATAGTTTGTTTTCTGAGAAAAACTGTATTAATTTTTGTATTACTTAAGATTGTTGATCGACCAGTTATCAAGAAGACAATTTTCATGCCTGATCGTAGATCACCACCATTAATTCATACTCGAAATATATATGTAGTAAGTAATTATATTATTGTAGAATTCATTTGTATCTGTATGGAAATATAGGTTTCTCCCGAGCCAGAACCAGTTGTAAGTACAACAACATCAAATGTTGCATCTCATAGATCATTCCATTTTATTCGAACGTTAAGAATGAATGTTAGCTGTCCATGTTGGTCATGGTTATGTATTCTTTTTGCTTTTCTCGTGTTACTTGGTCTTGCTGCCGTGTGTTTATATTTTACTCTAAGTATGATTTTTTGTTCTAGATTGATAAAAATAAAACATGTATCTATTTTAATTTTAGAACGTTATAATTATATCTAAATGGTATTTCTATTGTCAAGACATTTATAAAAAAAAGCTTTTTTTATTTTTTATGTGTATATGTAATATAATTGCTTTAAACTTGAGAATTAAAAAAGAATTCACTCAAAAAAAACTAAGAATAATATATAACAGAAAGATTTATTCGTTGAGCATTATTTACATTTGTTCAAAAAAATGCCCTCGAATACGTCAAGCTTGTCCATATAAATGATGTCATCATAACTATCATCGTTAAAATCGCCAATACCTAGCCAAGGGATTATATAACCCTTCTCTAGTAAAAATACTGATTGTGTTTCAAAATGTCCGTTTCCATCCCCAACAAACACATGTACTTTCTGAGCATCAGCAAAAACGATGTCTAAACAATGATCATCATTAAAATCACTGACAAGCATTTGATGTTCTATGAATGGAGTTCCTATGTGAAATTTCGTGCTGCTATCCACAGTTCCATTACTATATCCAACCATTACGTTAATAAAATCACTCTTTTCATAGGAGACAGCAATATCTATTAATGTGTCACTGTTAAAATCGCCCACAACTAAATGACTGGGATCGTAATAGTGGCCAGTGGAAAATGTCTTTTGCATTTCAAAACTTCCATTACTATGCCCAAAAAATATACCAATATTTCGACTATATTGATTTACGACAGCGATATCTTGACAACCATCACGATTAAAGTCAGCGACAGCAATATCTATCGGATAACTATTAATTCCAGTATGGAATGTCATTTCTGCAAAAAAAGTTCCGTCCCCCTTTCCAAAAAATATATGAAGACTATTCTTAGGAGCATTTGTAACAGCAATATCTAAGTATCCATCATCATTAAAATGAGTTAAAATGATTCCTGATAAAGTGCTTCCTTCTTCCAAATAGAGTGTCGGATTCTTTTTAAAAGCTCCACTGTCATTCCCGAGGAGAATGAATACATATTCAGTGATTTGGCTAATGCATGCAAGATCAAGTCGATTATCGTTATTGAAATCGCCAACAACCATTTTATCCATATAATCTAGTTGACGTGTTAATGACTCAATCTCTGGTTGAAAATTTGCGTTACCAGTCCCAAGCAACACATTTATACTCCTTGTAATGCGATTACTACCAGCAAGATCGAGTTGCTTGTCACCGTTAAAATCAGCAATAGCGTATGTATACATATTAGACCAAGAAGAAGGTCTCTTAATTGATATCTGTTGAAACTGTAATGAACAAGTTGGTTCTATGATGAAGAAAGAAATAAAGTAAGTAAAATTTATACCAGAAAATATAATGGAGCACTTTTAAAACAATTTATAATAAAAAACAAGATGATATTTATCTTAATAGACACTTAAACAAACTTTAAAATTTAATCTTCAGATATTTTTGATTTTTCTTTCGATTATTATAAAAATAAATCTAATTTACTCACTATGTGTAGTTCGAATTGTTGTTATCATACTTGTTGTTACTATAGGTGTTGTTGAACTATTAACAGCATGTGTCATGATATTTGTTGATGTATCCATGGTAGTGCTCGTTGTTGAAGAAACTATTAAAGAAATATTTGACAAACATTAAGATAGGCAATATTCTTTTTCATCTGAATATTTTGTTCTTGTAGTTTATAAGGTACTAGAAAAACATCATACCTGTTAATATAAGTGGATTGTTTTCTGATCGAGCAATATTAATAGAGAATAGAAAGAGAACTGCTGTTATTGTTAATAACAGTACACATATGAAGATGATCTTGAAATGATATCGAACTGATACGATGGAATTTGTTCTATTAATGAAAGTATCGACATTTTCAATGGGTATTGTTTCAACGGAATGAATAGGTTGAATTGGATTTATTCGTTTCTTTCGATATTGATAAATTTTATTTATAATTCGAATTATTTTAGGAGAAATCCACTGAAGAATAATTGTGAGACCACCTTGTAGACCAAGTAGAGCAGTTATTGTATGGAATAAATTGAATTTTTTAATATATGTATATGAACATATCAATGGAGAACATTGTTCAAAATAATATGAATAATTAATTGTTCTTTTCCATTCTTCAATAAACAAATGTTCAATAAGTTTATCAATAGTAGTGTTTATTAAAAATCGACTAGTATTTGTTGTTGAAAGAGAAGCAAAAGAATACGTTAAATTATTATTAATATTTGTATATTCTTGAATGAGATCAATACATGATTGATTATAAAAACATTCAAGAGTTGATTGAAGAAATGATTCACTTGGTGTACAACCCATTTTTAAACCTTTAATTGGAATGATTTTAGAAAAATTTCCTTCGATGAAATTTGCTTCAGTTGTACAATTTGAATATAATCCACAGGAACATTTGTTATCATAAGACAATGGTTTAGTATATGCATAATGTACATTTTGTACGATAAAAAATTTCATAGGAATAAAATATTCAAAATTTGTTCCATAAGTTGATACAAAAGCATTTCCATGGTTAACATTTCGAATTAAGAAGAGAAGATGAGTAAATGCTTTATGAGCATTTGATTTCCTTATTTCGATTATTGAATCGATATGTGTGTTGAATTTTGTTTCTGATAAAAGTTTATTAATAATAAATAATGAAGAATAAAATTGTTGAATAGCAATATGAACTGTATCATTAGAAAGTTGACATAAACCAGTAAGAAATTGTAAATGTGCAGAAATAAAACGACGATAATCTTCTTGCAAATAAGCAGATAAATCAGAAGTAAGACCAGATGTTAGATTAATTCGACCTGCATTTGAAGCGAATGGACTTGAACAAATCTAGAATTATAAAACTTGACTTTCTATTTTAAACAGATGAGTATAGTTTTGTCTTACCTGATGAAATACTGTTTCGACTGTGACAAATCGATTGTATGTTGATGTGATTGATGGACATGAACATTTTAATTCATCTCCATAACGTTGAAAAAGATGATTATATAAATCGAGAGATGGTTTATCAAATTTTTTTGTCAATGTTTCAGGCTGAAAGATGATATAAGCAGCAAGAACACTAATACCAACTACGAGCAAAATCATATATAAACGAGTAGCCCATTGACCAAGACGTTTAGCTGTCGTTCGATCAATATTACTTCCAAAATCTCGTACGAAGAAAATGTTTAAATTTACCAATTTGGTGGATAAATATGTTACTAGTTTCTGTATGATTGTTTGTAATTGACTGAATATGTTGTAACGAACTACAAATACTTCTTCTTCCTGCTCTTGTTGTTGTTGGTTACAGATCTTTGTCAATAAATAAAAGATAAAGCTGATCAGTTTAGGTGTCAGTAAGTGTAGACAAAGAGTAAGACCACCGATCATGGATAATAGTCTTATCATTATTTCAACAAATTTTCGACAAATTCTCTTCGTATAAGTACAATATTTTGGTGCACATGATTTGTAAAAATGATCATATGAGAAAGATGGATTCCATTGTTCGATCATAATTTCTTCGACTATTGTTAATATTGAAGTATTCGGAGGAAAACGACTTCGTATTGGATCATAAATGAGTGGACGCACATCAAACCATGTTGGATGTTCAACATTCATTAAGTATTGTTGTCTACTATAATTCATCAGGATTGAGAAACAAGTTGAGTGTGAATAGAAACATTGTAGCGTTGAAAGTATTAGAGATTCTACAGGCGAACATCCGAAAACCAGGCCTGGCACTGTGTAACGTAGAAAAAATGTTGGATGTACTGACCATCCATTATCAACATCATAAATACCAAACGAATGTTTACAATCAGTATTAGTAGCACAAATACAGGCGAAGGATGTTGAATTTACATTGCGAGGTCCAATCAGTCGAAATGTTACCTAAAAACAAAAGTACAGATCTATATTACATAATCAGTCATAGATGGGTATTAACAAGACATTGATGATGAAATACCTGCGATGCTTTTAATCGTTGGTTGTTATCTATCGCGAATTTTCCAACTAGATTTTCATCTTCTTGATAAAGTTTAATATGTGTCATTGGTACAGCATAAAGTTGATCAATTTGTGTAAGAATTTTTACTGTTTTAATAAGAGGACTAAAGTAAATAATTGTCGATCGGAAAAATTCATTGAGAGTCGCATTTAATTGTATATTAAAATCATTTTCAGTTAGTACATTCGAAACAATAAAGGATTGTAAAAGTAATCGTTGGATAGCATCTTCAATTGTTGTATTAGCTAATTTACAAAGATCTGATAATAAATAAAAATGTGAGTGAGCTATATTTCGCCAATCGGGAGAACCATAACCAGTTGTGATGTCTCTCAATAATGAAATCCATTCATCTGTAATAAGATCACTTGAACATATTTGATGAAAAATTGGAGATAATAAAATGAATTTTTCATAAGGTAGTATTGTATTAGAACATGGACATTCGAATTTTTTCAAAGAAATAGTTTCTAACTTCTTATATGTCGTTAATGATGGATTTGGATCAGTTTTTATGACTACTTCAGTACTCCATGAAGTGTAGAGAAGAATGAAAAATGAACCTAATGATACAAAATCAAAAACAACAGATTAATACCAAGAATACTCATGATTCAGAACACGGGAATTCAAGGATAATCAAGAATGAGGACGAACCTAAGTATGGCATAGATATGATACCAAAACTTACAAACTAAATACCTTAAACGTATGTGGAAAAAGTGAACGTACCAGTTAGTAAGATCAAATAGACACATGTACTAATCTTTTGTTGTTTGATATCGGTTTCCATTCGTCGATCAGCTGCCTTAAACAAATTTAATCGTTTGATAAATTGACCAAATTTACGTATACAAGCCATAAAAAAATCTAAAATTATAGATAATTTCTATATAGAATAAGAATATTTTTATTTGATTCAAAACATACTCGGATTAATATTTGTGTTTATTGAATGATATTTTAATTTTAACCAAATATTGACTAAGAATGGTGCAATTAATCGAAGTATTATAATAAGACCACCATAAAGACTAATGAATAAACTAATTACAAAAGAGAAATTCATATAATCTATTGCGGTGTATGTACAGTGCGAAGGAGCACATTCATCAAAATATTTCGAATAGTTCATTGTTATTAACCATTCATCAATGAAAAGATTAACTAAATGATCATTCACGGATTTATTATCTTGCTTTAAAAGTAGAGTAGAATTGGTCCAGTTAATATGTATCTAAATCAAAAATATGTCTAGCGAAAGATGAGATAGTATTGTACATACTTGAGTGATATTTGGAAAGTAGAACATCAATAATTCAAGACAATCAATACTATATAAACAATCGAGTGTACTTTGAAGTAGAGCTTCAAACGGAGTACATCCAGCAAAGAATCCATTGACGAGTGTGGCATTTGGCACTAGGAAATACGATGGCAAATGATATGGATTTGGCTCTCTTTTTGAATCGGAAAAGAAACTAATTGGCGCTATTGGATTTCCAATGCTACAGTCCATCAGTGTTGGCTTCAAAGTACTAGCAATTGAATGTGCAATATGTACTTTTCTACGGAAAAATACATAACCACGTTCAGAACTAGAAAGTTGAATGATGAAATTTGTATTGAGACTCGAAACTAAGTGATTAGCTCGAATTGTCGTTCTGAGATAGTTCACCAATAGCATGATTTGAGTAGATGCATGGCTCTTGAAAACTTCAAGGGTAGCATTTATTTTAGATTGAACTTGAACGTCAGAAAGAAGATCACTACTGATAAACTCATTGTTATTAAAATCAAACTTATTTTGAGAGATTACATCTTCAGACAACGAACAAAGTGTAGCCAAAAGATGAAACTAAATAAAGAACAAGTTCATTAAAATAATTATCTATAAATATACCATTCAAAACAAGATAGACAGATATCTGTAGGCTAATCAGATATAGTGCTATACAGCTATCCTGAACACAGTATGCAGTACATTGATTTAATCAACTAATTCGCTACGTTCTTTTGAGAGTGTAAATAATATATTATATGAACAAACATAATTTTACCTGAGAATTTGCTGTTGTTCGAAAATCTCCTGTTCCATATCTACTTGCATCTTCGAAATATAATGCTTGAATCCATTGTTCACTAACAAAAACACTTGAACAAACAGGATGATATGTGGTTGTATGATTCACAAAATCTTTATACGGTATAGCGACTTTCGAACATGGACATGAAAGAGTTTCACCATATTTAAGAAAAGTTTCGTTGAAAATCACAGGAGTAATATCGAGTACAGTGATTGTTCGAAGTTCTGGTTTCATCAGAGCAGTATAACAAAGAATGTAGATAGATACTGTAAAGAAATGTATAAACAGAGACATTATTAACATTTTGACAAGATTGAGGGTGTGGGTGTTTTACTTTTCTTTTATCTACAGTCATATTTACACCCAAACCCACCCTCAAGATGATAAGTGTGCACCACAAAGACGAACAATTGATGTCTTACTTACCCATAATAAGAATAATATAAAGCCAAGTTGTGTATTTTTGTTGTTTAAGAACAATTACTGGATCTCTTTGTTCGTTGTCGTCGTCGTCATCATAATCATCTTCTTCTATTATAAAAAGATTATAATTCCATAATCGCTCTTTAATATAATCAAAGACAGCTTTAAAATTGATCATTTTGATGAATTAATGAAATTGTTGTAGGAACAATCTGAAGATTTTATTCTAGAAAACAAAAACTATTTCTAAGTCAATAGATCCTTTCGAAATATATTAAAATGAACATTGTAAAACTGTGTATTATTTATTATATTTGTAGTACAATACTTGAGCTGTAACAATTCTACAAAACTCGTCGACTAACAAATATCGTACTGGTCTTCCTGGCAGATAGCATAATTCAACCAAATAACATCCTAAAATTTGTCTATATTTTTTCAAAATGATATAAAATATCATTTAACTTATTCTCCATGAAAATGAACGTTACTGAACAAAACATTTTACTCAAATACCTTTTTTTTTTTCTTTCAGTAACCTTTGCATTTCCTTTGAGAATAAGCGCTGATTTTTGTATATGTTTTAGTAAAAGCCAGACATGAGGTTAACTGAAATGATTCGCCTCTGCATTATTCTTATCGTCTCTATTGATAATAGATGTTAAATCACATCTGTCATTATTTTATTCAAAACTAAAAAAGGCACTGAGCTTAGTTAAATGTTGATTGCAAATATTCGTATAGAATATTTTATGATGAAAAAAATCTTGTAGACAAAGCAAAATTGTTGTTTGATTGAGCATTATTTTTTCTAATCACACTTAATTTTTCTTCTATTATTTTAATAATTTCGTAGTTAATTATCTAAAAATTTGAGTGCGAGAAAACTTGTTGTAGCTTAATTAGTCCGACACAGTATAAAGAGATGGTTTTAATTTCTATACAACTTAAAAAAAAATAAAAAGATGCATATGATAAGAGTCTATAACTTATTATAATTTGAGAGAGAAATATAAATTCAATGTTGTGTTTTCTTTTTTTTGCTTTGGTATGGTCCATTATTTTCCATTGTTATATAAAAAGTGCGCTGTAATGCATTATAATTTATTATTTGTAGCAATATTACAATTATTGATTATTAATTATATCAATGAATTGTAATCAGTTGTTTAAAAAGAAGGGGAGGGATCGTGACTCCCTGAAATATTCAATTTTATAATTTCATTCGACAGAGCATATTTTATTGCATATATTCTGAGATTTTCAGCCGTACTCTATCTGAAGTCGCCTGAGTAAAGCAATGTCACAAGGTCCAAGTTTTAGTCAAAATTTCGACTAGGGATTCATCCCGTGTTTTCCAAATCGTGAGCACAAAATAAGAGATAAATACAACTATTTTTATTTTAAAATATGGAAAGAAAAAATTCTCTATCGATTGCATACAGAATTGAGGTTTCGACAAAGACTTTTCGAAGTAAATAGTGTAAAATACTGTCTGAATTTTTCGAGCTTAAATGATTATGAATAAGTTTGGAAGAGATTTCTTATAGAAGATCTGATAGAGAATTTTAAGTGCTACAACTTTTCTATTGACTAAATTTATCAGTGTTCTTTGAAACACAAAAACGCCATATACTCTTGATTCTTAGGAATCGATTTGATTTAATTTAGCTACTCTACTTTGTTCATTTAGTGAAAACTAATATTGCATATACCTGACAGTAGTCTAGTGATGTTTAGAGATTGAAAATGTTGAATACATCATTTTTGGGTATGGATGTTAGTATAAGTGGAATAGATAGAATAAACCCACACCATAACTAATAAATCTAATCGTCTATAAAAGGTCTCATACATTAAAATTATTTATATCAAAAAAGAAAAATTGTTAATTTATGATGATTTTCGTAAGCTTAATTACGATAAGAATGAATATAAAATATTAAGACAGGAACTTGAACGCACTACAGTTCTATCAAGATATCAGTTATTTAAAATTAATAAAGATGCTTTATTAAATTATGATCATAGTGAATCCACAAATTACTTCATTTGCTAATATATATGAGTATTGTCGACAAAAAATATTGAATGACTTAGCAACAGTTTTAATACAGTTGAAAAGATTTGAATTGGAATTATCAAAGAAAGAGAGAGAATAAAAATAAGTGATGATACAAAAAATTTATTTACAAGGAACAAAAAAAACAATTTTATATAATGCTGGTGTTTAATAAAAGAAAAAAATTTTGAAGGTGATTATATAGTTCAACCTTGTAATATCATCAATCGTCGTTGAACTTGAATAAAAGAACAACAAATATTCTTCATCACGGTTTCAATTCCAAAGTAGATTTGAAGATATTTGAGATGTACATATATAACTATTGTAGTAATGCGTTATATGTTAGTATCACCTCGGATTTCACCATGTAGATGAGCAAATGCGATTGATTTACAACTGAAAGAGAAAGAAAGTTAACAACTTTCATTTTTTACTTTCTTTATTTTATATTACATAATAGACAATTTATTATATTCAATAAAATATGCCAATTTCCAGTGGTTTTTCACAAGATCCATATCCAGATGCGAGTTATTATGTAAGAAATATTAATTAGTATTTAAACTTGATATTTATTTGAGTCGATGTAGGTCCGTAAACCAGGTAAAACAGAAATGTTAGATGAAGCAATCTATTACAAACGTGATGAACCTTTCGAACGACCTGTTGAAGTATTTTTATATAGTTTATTTTCTAACAAAAACTGTATTCATTAAGATTATTCATCGACCAGTTGTCAAAGAGACCATTTTTATGCCTGATCGTAGACCACCACCATTAATTCATACTCGAGATACATATGTAGTAAGTAATCATATTATTGTAGAATTCATTTGTAACTGTATGGTAATATAGGTTTCTCCTCAGCCAGAACCAATTGCATATACAACAACATCAAATGTTGCACCTCCAAGATCATTCGATCTTATTCCTGCGTTAGGATTGAATGCTGATTGTCCATGTTGGTCATGGATATGTATTCTTCTTGCCTTTCTCGTGTTACTTGGTCTTGTTGGCATGTGTTTATATTTTATTCTCAGTATGATTTTTTGTTCTAGATTGATAGAAATAAAACATGTATCTATTTTAATTTTAGGACGTTATGATTATATCTAAGTGGTATTTCTATTGTCAAGACATTTGAAAAAAAAGCTTTTTTTATTTTTTATGTGTATATGTAATATAATTGCTTTAAATTTGAGAATTAAACGCATGAAGCTGTATATCGTCTATCAACCAATGACGAAACTTGAAAAATTAAAATATTTATCATTTATTCTCTAACCTTTTCACTTAATATTAGTATTGATTATTTATTTAGCAAACAAACAAAAAAAGAAGATTGAATAGGGAGTAAAAAAAAAGAGTTCTACATGCATCAGACCAATAGTTATAGAATTAAACAAAAGAAAACATTATACACACGCCAAAAAAAAAATATCTGTAGAAAAAAAAACCACAAATGATAAACAAATGAATATACATCTGACAAAATATTTTTCATTGATTCATATTAACAAAAGATGTTTTTTTATCTGATATAAGCACAACATGATGAATGAAATATTAAGATAAATAAGAAACACTGTTTTAATGCATGTATATATAGATATATATTCTTATTTACTAGAGTTGGGATTCAACTAAACCTGCATATTGAGATTCCGATCTATCAAAATTATAATTTGAATCTATTCCATTGGATAGATGTTGATGAGATAAATGATTCGTATCATTAATAATAGGAGGAGTATGTGAAGGTAAAATAAGAGTTCGATTTGATCGATCATGATTTGTATGTTGAACTTTTGTTTGTCGTCGAGGATCAACAGGTTGATTTGGTTTCATTATATCTTCACGATATTGATAATCTTCTTCATAACCAGTAGGAAATATCATTTCATCTTCGAATTCATCAACAATTGCTGGTTCATGAGGTGATGGTCGATATATTTGTTCATAAAGTTGTCTATCTGATCGGCAACTATCATAAAATGGATCATTACGACGTAATAATGTTGATGACATTGATCCATTTCCGTTGATACTTCTCAATGGTGTTGAATCAACTAATCGTACTTCACTATACATAGGTGGACCAAGTTGTGATCTTGAATCAACCATATCATATGGATCATAAGTTCCATTTGCAACAAAACTTTGATGTTCATCTTGTTTATCTTTATAACAATGTCCATTTCCTGTTAATGAACCATTACGATGTTCCATTGTATTAAATAATAATGCTTTATTTCTTTCAGCTTGATTTCGATTTGTTCGATGACAACGAAAAATCCAACAAAAACATAATAATATAAGAAGAAATAAAAATAGAAATAGAAATATTCCAATAATCCATAGCAGTAATGAACTATCAGTTAATGATGTTGTTCGTCGAACATTTAATTCATATGACAGATATTCATTATCTGAACGTCCTTGATTACGTATAGCAGCAACACAATTATAGGTTCCATTATGTTCTGAACCTATATTAGATATTGTTAATGTTGTTGTTCGATTTAAACAAGTTGGAGATAATATATCCATTGAAGTTAATAAACATGAATAACGAATTGTATATGAACCAGTTTGAATATCAGGTTCATTAATAGCTGTTACCATTTTACCAATAATTTTATTTTGAAATGTCCACCAAACTTCAGGTCCTGGATCAGAATAAACCTAAAATAATAAGAATTAATAAAATGCGAAAATGATATTTCTTTCTTATAACTTACATCACATCGAAGTGTAGCAATTTCTCCTAGTGCTACAATAAAAACTGTTACATCAGGTTTTGATATAATTGGTCCACAAACAAATTGTTCATCATGTAATGTCGTCATTTTTCTATCAGCTAAAACTTTTGGCATTTCACATTGTGGTTCATCATGAAAAATTGGATATTGAAGACGATTTAATCCATTACGTAACCAACGAAGTCGACAATCACATTCTAATGGATTTGAACTTAATTTCAAATGAAAATTATTTGGAAATGTGATATTATTTATTAATGTTCGTAACATATTTGAATTTAAAAATAATTGTCTTAAATTAGTTAAATGATTAATTATAGACATATCAACATATTGAAGATAATTAAATGA